AGTAATATTGTATAGGTCATCTAGTACATCAACTGTACAATTAATAGTTAAACTTTCTCCTAGTGATCTACCAGTAGTAGTAGTGAATGTGATATTAGGAACAGGAATGGCTATAAAATATTAGTAAAATAATTATTAGTATTTTACACTACATGAATATGTACATTACCTTGTACAGTAGCAATATATTCACCAGAAGCACTGCTTGGTATTATTAATGGATTATTAGCATCATCTCTCACTGTAGCAGTACATGTATAATTACCAGCATCAGAGAAATTGAGTGGTTGAAAGGTAAGAGCACCAGTAGTTTCAGTTTGAACTGCTATTAGTCTGGAACTGTTCTCAAATGACACTTTATCACCATCTTTGAAGACAGTAAATGAGACATTAGGATTAGTAGGTAAAGGAGGAGTGAAAACAACAGAACAGCTAACAGCTCTAACAGTTCCACGGATAAAAGGAGAATTACCATCAGGAGAAACAGAGACTTGTGGTAAAGGAACTGTATGAACAGAAAAGTTAAACAGTTAAGATTTAAAAATTCTAACTTACTTATTACACTGACAGTTGCAGATCCATTTCCATCTAATGGCTCATTGTTTTCTATATCAACATTAAGAATAGCATAACATGTGTATACTCCAATATCTGAATAGCTAAGTGAATTAAATATATAATCATATCTTTTCACAGTATCAGAAACATTAACTAAATTAAAACTTATTCCATTTTGTTCTTTGAGCTTATTTCCATTGCCATTAAGCCACATTATATTTAGGTCGAAATCTCCAGCTACAAATGTGACAGTGCAATTTAATACATACAATTGACCAGCAAAAACAGGTTGACTTGAGAATATAGACACGATAGGATTAGCTAAAGTAGAGATAAAGTAAACAAATACTCAGTTATACATACTTAATATCTGTAAGTTGTGCATAATCCTTTCTGTTTTAGTTGCTGGTGCATCAGAAATGCTAAGAGTTGCTACACAAGTATAATTATTTTTTTCATGAGTAGAAGCATTAAGAGAACTGAATGATAATGTTGCCATAGACCCACTATTGGTAACAGTGACTCCTTCCAGTGTATCATTAGTAAACACAGTACCATTAAGAACCCATTGAACACTAACAGTAGCAATACTTGATACATTAGCTGGTGCAGTTCCAGTACACACTAATTGGAATGAATCTCCTGTTACTGGGACACCGACATCTGTTATGTTTACCAATGGTAGTGGTACATCTATAATGTGCCATAATCATAGCAATCATAAGTTATCTTTTTATATGTTGTAGGCTTATATATGCATGCAACAGGTAAAATACTAACTCACTTTCCACAATAACAGTAGTACTAGTCGATGTAGCAGCATCTGATGGTATAATCAGTTCAAACTCATTCACATTACTAGCAGGTCCAACACTAGCAGTACAATAGTAATCAGTTCCATTATCTGATAGAAATGTTTTAAATGTTAAACTACTTTCATAATTATTTGAGTTGATCATCTCAGTACTAATATCATGCCGAGTATCATTCATTGTAATGAGTCCATTAGGCCCAAACCAGTTAATGTTCACAATATGATCAACATTCAGTGGAGTAATAGTGACAATACATAATAACTGAATGTCACTGCTCTCAAAAATATGTCTTGTTGAATTAAGACTAGATGTGACCAGAGGGGTAGGTACTACATTGTGAACAAGAATATTATAATTATGACATAGTAATGCCTACCTTGTATAGACACAGAATAATTTGATGTTTGAGTAAAAACAGTATCAACAATACTATCATTCAATAAAGCTTCACAAACATATTCTCCAACTTGAGATGCTTGTAATGAACTGAAGTTAAGAGTAAGTGTATATACAACACTATCATTAACTGATATCATTGTAGGCTCTAAAGCATCTAAAACTATGCCTCCATCAGTTGTAGAATTGAATAGAATGAGATCAGGACTTGCCCAGAACATTTTCACCACAGTAACATTCACTTCAGGAGCTAATGTCAATGTACAGGTTAATGAAAAGGAAGAAGAATGATCCAATGGCAGCATAACCGGCCCTTGTATATCAATACTGGCATCTAAATAAAGAGTTCAAGCACAATACAATAATATGTACACACTGAAATAAAGCAAGCTAACTCAGAATAAAATATTGTATCTGACCAGTACTTGAATCAAACTCTTGACATGATACATGAAGTACAAATGATAAGAAAAGTAACCAGAGCATCATATCTCGGACTCTTAGATCTACACTCAAGTTTGCAGATCTCTATGTTTAGAAAACAATTTTGGAAAGGAATTTCAGTTTAACTAAATAATAACAATAACAGTAAAGAACAACTGTGATTAGTCATAATGTCAACTTTCATTGCGCTATCACTCTATCATAGCATAACTAACATATGCAAGCAATTTAAGGAGCACATATTATTGTAAACAGGATATCAATATTTTGGAAATAAAACTAAGGTGTCTTGCATAATTCCTGTATTAGAACAAACTATAACCCATTTTGAAAATCAACAATACTGTAACTATAGTAAAATTTACATTCCTACAATTTCATTACAGCCAAATCATTTTCTCTGCCAACTGTCACTGAGCAGTGTGGGGTAATGCCGATACAGCCACACAGGTTTATCTTGTTAGGTAACAGAAAAAAAACAAAAGAAAAATTGTAAAATTTTATAAAATGTTAGACTGAACATTTTATACTCAATATAACATGAAAAGCGCATTAAAATATTGATTAATTAGTCGCTGGTTCTCATTGTATCCCTCCATGCTGTGGTAGGTTTATAATAGCTATTATAATTAGAATAATAATAAGAACCACTAGACCCTCTATCTGATCCTGTATCATCATCACCTCTATTAGCAGGATCATTATGCAGTATCATCCACATATCAAACCATTTCATGCCAAGCACATTATAGTCTAACTGGTTATATGCACAAGAATGAGGAAGGAACAAGATTTTAATACAATTGAATGACAATGAATGGATAAACACTCACATGTACTGGGATATGCCACTTACCCTCTTGTCTCTCAATGAATGTCTATTATAAGCTCTTTTCCCTCTTTTTCCTTTCCTACCTTTCTCTCTCCAACCCTTGTTCCTCTCTCTTGTTTTTTGTGTGCTATATTACAATTCACACCACAAAGACAATGAGAATAACTAGACTATTACGGAATAATAAAAATAGCAAGTATGTGTATTAAAGAAATCAAGGGAGAAAAAGAGCAAAAAAATAGAAAGAGGAACAAAGAAAGGTACAATATGATTAAATTGCATGGTGTATGTATGTACATGCATGTACATGTACACTATACATACATGTATACATGTTTATTTCCTGTTCCTGTGTTGTTATCAATCTTAAAATTATTTCAAATACCAGTACATGCACACAATATGTATGCATGTACAATACCTTGATAAATCAATCAGTGTCTGTAGTATCATTCACTGATATGCAAAATACTAATAATATTTGACCATGTTTTATTGGGCAATACCAAAAACTAAGCCAATAAAAAAATAATGAACAATTAGTTGTTTGTCTCAGAAAAAGTATAATAAATGTAATTTTTGTGATTTCATGTGTCCATCAAAAGTACATCTTCTCCTCTCTTCTACTATAGTCTCACAATTGAACCTGCATTTAGGTCAGTCCAAGATATTTCTGCCAAGTAAGTTTAATGCCAGTCTAAGAGACTGTCAAACATGTTTACAAAATATGTGTGGTCTGGATCAGACAAGCTACTTGATAAGTCAAGATTTCTTAATTATTGTATGAATCCAAAATATAAAATACAAACATTTGATTGGAATTTTTATGAAGCCTCCAGATTTGTCCTAAGATCAATTGCTGTACAGTTCATCATATTGAGTTCTCACCCTCAAACCATTTTTTGTGTGCCTATGATATGCATTTAGTAGAAATATTAATTAGATTTATCATGGCATGTGCATATTATTTATATAGCATTGTGCTATATATCAAGACTCCTTAATATTTTCTTCAATTCTTAATGTACACATTTTGCTGCATCACTACTTTTGTGTTTTGCTATCAGCTACAGTCCATTATGTAATAGATATCTAGATAGTTACTCCCCTAAAGATAAGCAGTGTAATTGTTACAAAAAATTATTGTTTATTTTGTATTGTTAGGATATCCCATTACCACTATGTCAACAACTACCACTATTAACAAATAAACATTACAACATTAGAAGCAGCTTTGTACAAGCACTATAAACTCAATTTTTTGTTACTCAGTATTGAAGCTAGTATTCTTACTTGTTCTTGTAGGATGATGTCAACTTCTATTTTTTGCATTTTTGGTTTGCTACTTAACCAATTTGAAAATGGAATGGGGCAAGAGCCATCTGACATTCTGCCTACTAAAGGTAAAATATATACCTGTAATGTTTATAATCAAATTCTGGTTAGGTGTTCAACTATATTTACCTTATACAAACAGGATAATATTTGATTATTCGATAATAAGTAGTGGCATGTTTTATGATTCTGATCAAAATGATGATCCTGACAATATTGTTGATGCTTTGTGGTGTCAAAGTGCCTATCCTAGCTCTAATATTGGAGTGTGGTATTATCCTAACGGAACTCAAGTACCTTCATTTGATGGAAATTTCACTGATCCATCAGCTCCTGGTCCAGTGTTCAGTAAGAGATTCAGAGGTCAGATTGCACTAGCTAGAAGAGATGAACTATCAGGATATGAAGGTTTATACAAGTGTATCATTCCTGATGAGAATGGAGTGAATCAAGTACTAGTGGTTGGAGCATATACTGATACTGGATACAATAACAACAGTAATGATGAATAAAATTTGAATATTCATGCATTCTTACTTTTTCAGATGGCCCTAATGCTGACTCAACTATGCAATTCACTTTCCTCTCTTCAAATAGATTGGCTACTCCTCCAGTTTTCAGTCTAAATTTTAATGTCAACAATGGTCCTCCCACAACTGTAAAGTGTTCATTGAATGGAAATGAAATATCTACTGAATTGTACAGAGCAGTAGTGTATGGTCCTGGGTTTGTTACAAGAGTGTCAGTAACTGTAAGGCTGAGAGAAGCTGGTAACTATCAATGTACTGTATCTAATGAGAGAGTAAATGATGGTACTATTAATTTTATCACAGCAATGAGTAGCACATCTTCATTGACTATTAGAGGTCAGTATATTGAGTACTAATTATAAATTTTAAACTTTTCATATGATTTAGTATCTGAAATTCCAAATGGCTTTACAGCTAAAAGATTAAGTAGTGGTTTAACTCATGTAATGCTATCCTGGTCTAGTGTATTTGGAGCTACTGGATATGAGATCTACAGACAACAGTCTAGTTATAATCCTTATAGTGCATTGAGCACCACTTTAACAGCAGTCAATATAACATCAGGATTATATCAAGGGAATGAATATACTTATTACATTGTATCTTACATGTCCAACAATTCACTCCCTAGTAACAGTACTTCAGTTACAATATCAATTGGTAAGTGAAAATATTTTTTCATATGAACATCTAGATATAACATTTCAGAAAATCCAATAGTTAATGATTTTGTGGCTACTGCCATCACATATAGCACAATTGATTTAATTTGGAGTTCACCGACTGCTGTGGTACCAATTAGATATGATATCAATAGAAGATGTAGAATACTATGTAACTCGTCAGGTTCTAGTGTCATTGATACATCAGTTCTTTCACCACATAAATTAACTGGTATATCTCCATACAGTCAGTGCACTTTGAATCTTATTGGAATATATGGAGATGAAACGGCAAATTTGGCTACTTATGTAACTATTACAAACCTAACTGGTATAAAAAAAAACATTTAAAAAACATGTTTCAATTTTCCTCTTTTAGCTCCTACTGCATCAGTAGATAATATTCTATTGTCGTCTATAACATTGACTTCAATGACTGTCTCATGGGATGAAGTACCTTGCAATGGAAGGAATGGACCAATCACTGGATACTACCTCACATACACTAACATCTCTTCAGATACTAGCTATACTGTTAATATCACTGGAGGAGACAACAGAATGTATCATCTCACAGGATTAATACCATTTACTAACTATACTGTGAGTATAATACCTTATAATTATGGCATGACTGGACCAGCTAGACAAGAAAATCAAATAACACCTGAATCAAGTAAGCCAACATACATGTAATTTATTAGTCTAAGGTTTATTATCTTAACACAGTTCCTGGTATAATATCTAACTTTGAACAAAATCACACTGCACTTACTGAAATTAGCATATTATGGAATCCTCCTACAATACCTAATGGTATCATTACGGCATATGAAATACGATATAGAGAGTCTACCAGTACTGGTCCATACAATATAACTAACACTACTAACACTCATTACAGTATAGTAGGATTGATGCATGACACTAGTTATATTATTGGAGTGAGAGCATATACTAGTATTGGACCAGGAGAATGGACTGAAAGAGAATACACCACTGCTCAATTGCGTAAGTTAAAAATAAATTTATTATCACTTTTTACTTATCAATTTTTATAGCTATTGTTAGTAATTTTTCTGTCACTCAAGTCAATGCAACTGCTTTGGAGTTTCAATGGTTATCAGTGAAGGAAAAAGAAGCTTATTTTTATACAGTTTATTATATAAGCTCTTTTTGTTCTGGATCATTGACATTTAGCAAAAATAGCAGCTACCACATTATACCAGCCGAGGGTATTGCTGGAATAAAAGTATATCTATTTTCAATATCAGTAACACTTAAAATAAGGGATACACTATATGAGGGAGAAAGGAGTCCATTTATTCCACAAGGTAATAAAAATTATAGCAAATCAAAATTTAATCACAAAATATGAACAGAATTAATTAGAACTGAGCCAACAGAAACAATTTCTGATGAACCAATAACACCTGGCTTAATAAGCACCATATTGATTATGAGCACTTCACTTCTGACTAACATAATACTATCAGTAATACTCATGATATTATGTACAAAGAGTAAAACCAGGTAACTAAATAATATTTTATAATTTTATTCTAAATTTATAATTATAAAGCAACAATAATATGAATAATGGTGATAATCTAATAATGAAAAAAAGTCCAGCTTATAACAACATTATTATGAAGAAACAGTAAGCTTAAAATACAGTGTATTGTTCACTACTAGTATACATATAGATTAAACCAAGAAGGCATTGATGGACCAACTTATGAATTAGCTGATTCAGCCCCACAGCTTTCACATGCTCCTGCTGAGTATGAAACAATTGCACAATTGTAACATCAGTAATTTAAACTATTCATGTAGTTTAGCTTTTTGCTGCATAGACTATATTTTTGCATAAATCTTCATAAGCAAATAAACTTTCCACAGTAAAATTTCTACTGTTGTGAAACCTAATAATTACAATAATGAAACACATGCAGACAGACAAATTGAGTACCTAGTTCTTGCCTACGCAAAGCTGGGCAAGATAAAATAAAATTTAAGAGTCGAGTATTCTACTTATTTTCAAGAGTTATTTTTATCATTAAATTTTTCTTTATTTCATAAGAAGCGACATTTCCTCACAAAACAGTTGATCTCCATTTTCATTGTAAATAGTGAATTTTCCTTCATAAAAACCCTAAAAGTGAAAATTAAGTATATTTATGCAACACAATTACTAGTCAGCAATTAATCTACAGTATCATGGTTTTCCGCAGGATTTTGGCACAGTGCTTGTGCAGGTTTTTGTCAGTACATTGTCAAGTCGCTCAGAAATTGGGCTAAGACCTCGTATATATATATAGTACAGAGTATTTTAGCAAAAATTACAAGGAAAGATTCTCCATTTTAATATTTTTTCTGGTACACATACATTAATTATTATCCTGTGTAGAAAATTTAAGTTAATTCTAATCAAGTTTGAATTTTTTATGAATTTTTAAAGTTGCTCATAAATTGAAATAACGGCTAAATTTTTGGCCCAGTTTTTCAAAAAAATTTAAAGAGAGAATTCTTGATTTTAACAATTTTTCCTAGTACACATACATGTTTGTATGCCGTGTCAAAAATTTAAGCTGTTTCCAATCAAAATTACATTTAACAAAATGCCATCATTTACTATTGTAATGCTTGTCAGCTTATGAAGCATGCTGTTTAGTTCACTTAGCATGCTTTGTAGGAAGCCCTGACTTACAGTGCAAAATTCTTCAGGACATTAATTTTACAAATTGCCAAATTCATTTTGTGAATTTAATTCAATGAATATTTTTGAATTTTACAATTTTAAAAATAATAATTGCTGAAATTGACATTCCTTTATATTTCAGTCACTACAAACAAAAAAATGACTCACGTACTGGCCAATATAGCTTTAAAACTTCTTGAGTTGCACTTAAATTGTATCTTCCAGGAAGTAGTGGACAGTTTTGTTTTAGTATATCAGCAATAAGATCACATCCATTTAAGTTCTCATCAACAAATGTGATATTAAGTTCGTGACGAAAATTATATGTAATTAAAAATTTTGCCATCATCCAGTCAATTTTTTTATCTGTTTAAAAGAATAAATTTTAATGAAACATGCATACAAAAATGTTATTTTTATAAAGTAGGGAAATTTTAGATTCAAATGGAAACATTTCCATCAGTAAAACTAAAAGTGAATACTAAAATCTTCGAACACAAATAATACACAGTATTGTAATAGTTATCTCTGTTAATGTGATCACTCAAGCAACTTACGAATGTGTACAATTCCTTTTAAATTGACATTAGTACCTCGAATGAGTGGTAGAGGTGGGATTAATTGTACTTCATTAATAGTAATAAATTTATTTGCGATCACTTTAAATAAAAAATACACAATCATAATTACCCACAAAAACATTTCAACAATAAATTTAAACTTAATTCCATTTTAAATTTTGCCACATCACTATTATTTTAATATTATTAAACTTACAACAATTCGTAAATCCTATCTCACCTGTAGTTTAACAAATAATAATAGTTTATTAGTAGCCACTAGGGAGTAGTCAACTCACTATTGTAATGATTGTTAATAGATCCAGTCAATGTAGATACTACTAGTACAACTGATAGAAGTAACAGTATACACTCTACTAGTCTACCTATCTTCTCTTTGACTGTAGACAATGTTACATACTAGTGCCTCATTATACTCTGATGTAGATAAGTTTACCTTTCATTATGAAGGGTAAAGGTAAAGGTAAACTTTCACTGATACACTTGACGTTATTGCATCAGTCAGTTTAACCAAAGTAGCTAGTTATTTACTTATGGTTTAACTGATACACAATTTGCTCATTTGTGTTTATCTACATTAGGTAAATAAACATGCTGACAATAAAAGACTAGCTCAATTTAAAAGCTAAACACCAGCACTTTGAAACTGTGTACAATTCAAATAAAGCAACAATTATAATGCATGAGCTGATGATTTTTGCATGAATTAGATAATATGTATTGCATCAGCAGTTGTGACCACAAAAACTTAATCACTGTGTATATTATATAGCTGATTTGTGTCATGCACCTTTTTGCTCCTTACACACACACACCACGCACATAGTCTTGCACAGACAGACTTCTACCCTTTTTGATGTTGGGGTAACATACACACACATACATACATTAGATCTATATGTTAGCTGAACTTAGGCTCTAATTAACAAAACAACTAAAAGCGCTTCTTTTTTGGCTTCTGGACTCTGATAATACTTCATAGAGTTTGACTAAGGTTTGTTGTTACAGACTTTTCTCTCTCAGGCAAAGTTCTCAAAATAATACTCATATTGTATGATTGAGCAGTACACCACCCACACATAAAGTAATAGATGCAGTTGAAATATTGAAAATACCAAAAAATATTTTGTCTGAACAGCAAAAATAATTCTAAAATCATCAATGATACAATATCAAAAATAATAAATGTAGAAAAGTCATGAAAATACTAAATTTGAACAATATATTAATGTCAATAATAGTAAAGGTGCATAAAAAATAACAGAAATGTAGTAACTACAACTAAAATTATAAATTACCTACTGTACCAAAACATAAATCAAATGATAGACTTTTTCTGCACGTTTAGCTATATCAGAAGCTTGATGAAGACTATACTTATCAACTGGTGCACTTGGTCTGGTGTGTCTATTAGGATAACGTGTGTCTAAGTAATACTGCTCCATATTAGATACTAAATTATTTAGTTCTGATAGTGATCCTTCACATGAACTAAGAGCTCTTGCATGAACAATCAATTCATGACGTTTAAGATAAACCTCATTTAATCCCAATAAGGCATACATACCAGCCTTAAGAGCCTTTTCCATTACCTGGTGAGCCATAAATATGAGTTGAGATGAGACTTCTTCTATAGACAACGAGAGTAAACCTTTCATAGCTCGTAGATCAGACTTTGCCTGTCTCATCCAACGCTTAGCCTCAATCTTATCAACTTGAGGCTGAAAACTAAAAGAACTTCCACTATCTTGTGTTGTATGGCTCTGCTCAGATCTACTAAAATTACTGCCACCAAAACTGCTTCCTCCTCCTCCTCCTCCTCCTCCTCCTCCTCCTCCTCCTCCTCCTAGCCCTCCACCATGTCCATATCTTCTATTGCGTGCACTTCTATCCCACTGGTTAAAATTTGATTCCCAATGTGACCCAAAGCTAGTTTCTGTGTGTTGACTAGATTCAGTAATATCAGGGTCAAGTAATGGGAGATTGTTCTCCAGACGATTGATTTGACATTTTAAAAATTTGAAAGCCTCTTCATAAATACTCACTTTAGATGGTTCAGCTTTATCAGGATGATATTGCAGATACAACCGCCTCACCCCTCTTCTCCTTTCAGCATCTGGTAGACTCCACAATAGCCTAAGCTGCTCACATATTTTTCTTCTTAGACTGTTAAGATCATCATTCTCGGTCTCAACCCTTGCTCTGCTAGATCTAGTTTGAATCCCACTACGTAAAACTATTTCTTGATGATGATTAGGAGCCACAGATGCCTCTCGACGTACAAGCTTATACAGGCAAAGTATAGATACAATTTCTTCATGGATTTCATCTTCATTATCAATCTGAATGGCATATTTCCTTAAGAAATGATTGTCGACATCTTCTTGCTCTACTTGATGAAGTATGATGGCCCAAATAAAATTATCATCACTTTTTTCATACCCAACCCACTCCTGAGGACGAAATATATTATTGACATTGTGATCGAGAAATGACCTCCAGTACCTTGCCATGGGTTGCCCAGGCTTTGGCATGCTATCATCAGCACTGATTAAATATTCCCTATCAATATTGACATCCTGATTATGTAACTTCATAATTGATTTGAAATCTTCCTCACTCTGAACTTCAAGAAGTTCATACATTATTTCATTCAATTTTATAGCTTCATTACCTACAACCCGTGCCAATACATTACAAAGTTCATGAGCAAGACCTCTTCGTAATGTCATATCAATAGTATTAATTTCATCACTGCTATAAAAAGTATAGTTCTCATCCTCATCACATATAAAGAGAAATTTGGCTTTAATTGCACCAACTTTAATTGAATTAATGGTTACACATGCAATAAAGTTAATGACTGTTTTGCATTGAAGATTCTTAATGAAATTAACTATTAAAGCAGCATTTGGTTTTGACAGATCTGATGAGACTTTTAAAAATATTTTTGTGAGACCATCACAATAAACTGAAGCAGAGCAAAGCTTTATTAGGTATTCTAGCCGTTCACATATTTTGCTATGGGACTGTGATATAATACCTGATTCTAGCTTATCATGACTAACAGAAGATAGACGCTTTGGAGATAGCTTTCTTGGCAACTTGCAGCACAGGTCTTTCTCTGAGACATCATCTGCTCTTAATAAAGGAATACTAAATAGTTTAAACTGTGACTCAGAGAAATTCCATGGAGATTCATGGTTGTAATAAACCTTTCTATCACGATAAACGAGCTTTGTTGATAAAACTAATTGATCATCAAAAGTTGGGAGATACAAAGGTTTCAGAATTTTTTCAGTTTCTTGTGTCACATCTTTTAATAAATCAGAGAGTGCTTGCATTGCATTTCTTACCAATTCTTTATCATTAGGATTGTTAATATCTTTACATTGTTGATGGAGCCTCTCCAGCATATACTGTATATGCTTTAGCTCTACTCTATATGTTACTCCTGCTTCTGACAATGCAGGCCATAAATGATGCAAACTGAGTGGCAATATATTAATGTAGGGACAAAATCTTGTGCTTTTTTCAGATCCTGATGAATTAATAGTCATAACAACTTGCATTGAATTTACAAGTACAGGCTTGCTAACCTCAAAACCATCATTTGGTTCAGCACTGACAGGAATAAAGGGAACTAAAGATAGTTCTTCTAATAGGCTGCTGTCATGATTGTGAATGAATGTGATGTTGTCTTTAATAACTTCTACTACAGATGCACTGCCAATAGTTCTTGATACAGTATACGTTGACATCAATTCAAAGTCAGCCAAACGAGATCTTGAAATGTTTTCAATGTTTTTAAAAACATCTGTTACAGAAGGTTTAGAAACTACTCTTAATTGATTCAGTACATTGTTTTCAGCTACAGACATGCAACATGATGGTAATTGTATAACTGGTCTGACAGTCCAAAGAAGAGAAGCGTTTAATTCATCATAACTAACGGCTCCATTAAAACAAGTAAAGCCAGTATTATTGGGTGATGGAGCAATCCATAACAATGGACTCAAATCAGCAGTACAAACAAAAGGAATTCTACAAATTGTAGACAATAATGTGGGTGACTTATGAATATCAGTAGCTTTAGTTGAGAATAGATATTCAACAAGCACATTAGAAGTATCTTTACAATGACTTTTTGACACTTCATCACAAAATTCTACAAATTCCTCTGGTGTTACCTTAATACGAAGACCAATAAACCTCAGGAAATCAAGCCATTCTTTTTTTCTATATTCCTCAACAAGAAAATGAAACCGATCGGAGAAAAAATTGAATATCTTCATAGTATGATCAACAAAATGATTAACAGGATAAAGTTTATTATCATTTGAATGAGAAACTAAGAATGGCAATTTCTTTGCACAGTTAACAAACTTTATAGCTTGTTCACTCTGTTCACCTGTCATTTGTAAAGCATGTTTTAAATTAGGAAAGAGATACTTTCTAATATATTCCATGTGACACAGTCGTTCCTCAAAATCTAGTTTGTAGAACACTGGAAAAATTATGTCACAATAGACTTCAGTAGGTGACAACTCCTGACCAAGAAGAGAAAAATTATTTTGACACAACCATTTCCAAGATCCATTTCTTTCCAAAAAGACGATTCTGTCAATGGGTGCCCACTTATCATATGCTTCTACTGGGAATTGAGGATCAGGCCAAAGATAAACATATCTTTTAAGTAACTTTGTGACTGTTTCATTAATACTTTTGAACAAAGGGAGGCATAGGATCTTGTCTAGGATCTTCTTGTCATTATGAAATGATGTTTTGTTGAGGTATGACATTAGACTCTTTATTTGTAAGTCATTTAGTGTTGTAACTTTTTGGGTAAAGTATTGCTCATTTTTTCTGCATACATGAAAGATGACATCCAAAATATAATTGCATTGTGTCATGCTAGGACAATAATCAAATATTCCTTGTGGATACCCTTCGGATTTGAGTATAGGGACATTCAAATCCTTTAAAACATTAAAAGCATGATCAAACATGTCCGGTTCAACAATTGGCAATACACCAGATGCAGTACTGTAGAGTTTATTATTCCTCGCTGGTAGCAAAGCCCACTCCTGAACAATTTCATTCCGATAGACAATGAAGTAGTCATCTGATGTAATGCAATCCCATAATTTTTTTAGGGTACGAGCATCAATGACATTGCTGGGTGCTTCATCTCCTTTTAGTTTAGATGGTAAATTATCCTCAAGTATTTTTGATACTTGACTAAATAAATTGCCGCTGTCTATACTGAGAAAATAGTATGGTGAAAGAGATAAATTAAATAGTTCTGGATGCAAAAATCTATCTTTACTTTTAGAAAAAAGTGAGAAATAACTACTAAAAAGTACTTGGTCGTTCTGATTAAAATTTCTAAGAATATCATCAGATGTGAGCAAGAGTGGATAGCCATGAGGAGATTTTGGAAACTCAGAGGAATGACATAAAATGTATTTAAGAAATTCTTGAAAGCATTGAATAGTTTGAAAAGGACTTTCCTGTAGCTTAACTGGTGCACCAGATGTCAAAATCAAAGAAGAAAAATTAGTATAAAAGGAAAATACAGACAGTGGACTTACTATTGGAGGATCAAACACTTTCTTAAAGGTTTGATAAATACAATGAGGTGCACAAGTTACTAGCATTCTAATTCTACTCACAACAGGTATTATACTCTTAACATACTCAGGCTGAAAGTATACCTGGGTAAATCCGTTATCACTTTTTAATGGACACCACTCCACTTTTACTTTACTTTGTGATGCCTGGACCTGAACTGCAAGAACAGATGTATTACAATCATAAAGATGTTGCACTACATTAAGAGCTAATGTATGCCAGTCACCCTCTAATTTTTCACTATCACCACCTTTATCAAATAGAGGAAAAAGATCATAATAACTGTTAATAATTGAAGAAGCATCTCGTAAAGAGTAAGTTTTAGCCTCAGATATAAAGTAGGCTCTAGCTTTATCTAACAGCAATGCATAACAGTATGCTATAGCTTGTAAGATGAATCTGTTCCATTTTATTTTATTGTCTTCCCTGTCTCCATTCCAAAGTGAACGACGATTGTTATGTAGAGCAAACTGACCATTAACATGTACTGGAAGATTTGTAAACACAGGCAATGGCAGAAAGCAAAAAACACGACCTTGTATATGAGTATTTCCATCCAAAGGAGCTGCAATGCCATACTTTGGCTGAACTCTATCAAGTGATAACTGTTCTTCTGGGGATTTTGATATATTACCAACACCATTTTGAATGAGCCACCTTTTAGTTTTTTTAATATAAGGCTTTACAATACTAAGCTGAACTTGGTATGTGACAATGAATGGCTCTTTGCTACTTCTAAAAGAAAGCAGCTTCTGATGGAATGCTTCTCTCTGTTTTTGGTCTTCTTGTGAAATATTTACTTCATAACTCAGCTTTAACGAGCTATGTTTATTGTCAATGATATAAAAGCTAAATTGTTTGATGTGATTCAAGAATAGAAGAGCATCTTCAATTTCATTCACCCACTCAGTGAGCTTCTCTTCCATTTCATTGACAGAAATGTGTTTCTTAAAAGCTGTTTTATCTAATAATTCAGTTGATTGGAATCCACTTTGTGTTCGTAATGGGAATCTAAAGAGAGTACCAGTTGTCAAATTATCAGGCAAATGAATGTTAGATGATGAAACCCGAAGAAAGCTAAATTTAAGATCACTCATACCTTTTAAAAAGTTATCATCAATGTTATATTGTCTTCCAGGACAGGAGTGATCTGCTTCTGGTACATATTTGCAGTGTGGGTCAAATACACAAAGTGTGTTTCCTCTAGTAATAAAACTAGGACAATCAGTCAGGTGATATACTACATTGAAACCAATACCAAACTGACCAATTGATTCATCATCATCTCGCTTAGAACCAAGACCCAACTTCTGAATACCCTCCAGATCTGCATCACTAAACTCCTTATCATTCCATACCAGTAGGGCAGGTCCTTGTAATTCTTTTCCCCATTCTTCTGAAGGTACTTTTTTTTTCTTGTGCTGTCTTTTATCAAGTATTACTCGTATTTTAGTAGCTTTAGTATCATCAGCATTTTGCAGTAGCTCTTTAAGAAATGTTGCATCAAGTGGATATTCCTGCAGTATGTTCCTAATGCGCCTAGTGAGTTCTTCCTTTTGACCAAAGGGAACTCCAGCAAAACTTTGTTGTGACTGAGGGGCAAATTTATTCAAAAACCTGCTACACGTGGGTTTAACACCAAGTGTCAGTGCTACTTCTCGAGTTAGTTTATTGTGTACATAAAAGCTCTCATTGTCTGGTGGTAGCCATGGTGAATCATTAAAGGACAATTGGCTTACATGTCGAAGAGTATATGAATCATCAATAAGTATAATATCTCCCTTGTAGTTTGAAACTTGAGATGAATTGATGGTCATTGAATTTAACTCTGAAATCATGCTCAAAGCAATATTTTGATTCCTTTTTAGTATTTTACAAGATGCAAAATCTTTATACATTGCCTCAAAAGCTACTAATATGTCATCATAGTTAAAGGTTGTCTTAATATTAAAACACTTTAAAAGTTTATCTTTTTCAGAAAGCATTGATGGCAGCTTGTAAAGATATGGTCCATCATGATAATTCCAGTTAATAGCTACATCCCATGGACAAACAAAAGTTTTACCTGTCCATATAAATGGTTTATTGTAATACTTTGATAATGATTCATGAAGCAAAGGATTATCAAGTAATTCATCAAAAAAAGTATATATTTCACGACACATTTCATTAATAATTTCATAATGACCTCTAGGTGCAGATGGTTTGAATGAACGAATCAAAGTATTTAAGTGTTTCAGAACTTCATCAAATGATGGCTTAGTAGCAATTTCTAATAACTTGATCACCCTTTGTCCTATAGTGCCACAACCTCCATCACTGACAGAATTAGTATTAAGTATTGCTCTTTGAGAGCCAACTATGAGAGCAGTGCCTCTTGCTGTACTACGTGAATTACAAATTAGCCCATAAGGAGACAGTAGCACATGACCCTCACCCTTCCAATGTATGAAGTAATGCTGAGGCTTTGGTAAAACAGGTAAAAATCTCATCTTCTTCAGCTCATCAGGCACAGGAGAAGTTATATTTTGCAATATAGCTTTTACTCTTTTCATTGCTTTACTTTTGTCAGTAACAATGATTGGTTCGATTGTTTTAGCACTTCTAATAATAATGTGAATTGACAGTTTCTCTGACATCATTCCAAACTCAACTAACATGTTACATACCAAATTATTTTGACAGAAGCTAGATAAAGGAAACATAGCATCTTCAGGATCAAATATGTCTTTAAATACAACTGGATCAATTAGTTGGTTGGCTACCTTTAAGTTTATGCCATTAGGAGAGCATGGGATGCATGGAATTAATTTAATTTGGGTTTTAACGTTCTCATATTCATTTGAATTTATTTGCTGTGACATGGCAATAGCTAGCAACATACAAAAAATAACTTTATTGCGAATTTGTATGTGTGCATTAAATGATGCTATATTGGATAAAAAGAAACTAGTAAAATTATCTTCATCAAGAACACTCAGACTAGTACTGAACTTCATTAACTGTTGCATATGGTTAGGCGGTAAGGAAACTACTGGTAATTGAAGAATATGAAGAGCCTCTTCAGGAAAGGAATACCTACCAACTATTGAGAATAATGATGAAGGAATGAAGTAAGACTGCTCTAGTGTCTGCCATTTATTTAAAGAAGCTGAGTAGAAGAGCTCTTTTTCTGATAACAACTTTATCAAGCCAGTAACAAGAAAATCCCATGGATATTTCATGTGCAGATTTGTAGCAAGTGGCCACAACATATGGAAGTCATAGTCAAGTAAAGTTCCAGAGCAGTGCATTGCTTGCAATTTTTGAAGTAATTTGCAATAAGCTTCTGGTATAGTTATTTCCATTAGGTTTTTGTTCCATTGCTCTCTTGAATCAGTAACAATACCTGATGAAGCTTCAGTCCAAATACCACTTCTGTTACTCATAACAGCAAAATTAGCACTGACATGTACTGGTAAGCCAGTACTAGGCAATGCTAATGGCAAAAAACAAAATGCATTTCCTTCTATTTCCTTACACTTGTAACAACTCGAGTTGATTCTATCAAATTGACATGCTATAGAGGCCACAGCTGGTTTTATGATATTCTGGTGTCGCCACTGCTCTTCTTGACTAGCTATTAGCCAATGTTCAGTGCTGCTTTTATTATGCGGTGACTTGATCACAACTTTGTGAATATCATCATTACTACTGTTACTAGCATCAATTGAGACTTCAATGATTTTCTTTTTGCCTTTCAGTGAACTAAATGTGATCTGTTTAACATGCTGCAAAAAGAGCAATAATTTAGAACCACACTCAATCAAATCTCTTTTTATATCTTCTACAAGATGTTCATTGTAAATTGTAGAACTAATCTGACTGGCGCTTGTTCTAAAAGGAAACCTGAACATTGTCCCTTCATAGTCTGATGATGATTTGAAGCCAAATAAACCTTCATAAGGTGTCAAATCCTGAGACTTAGCAAAAATTTTTGACTGATACTTCATTTTCTTACCTGGTCTACTCTCATTAATAACTATCCCTTTAAGGTACTTTAGTGTTGGATCAAATATATACAACCACTCACCACTAACAAAGGAAGGTACATCAGTGATGTGATACACTGAACAAAAACCAATGCCAAATTTACCAATTTTAAGTGGCTGGTTAGCTTTTGTAGCACCAGCCAGTTTGGTTATGTTTTCAAAGTCTTCTTTAGTAAAACTACCATTGTTGTGCACTATCAGTGCTGGACCATGACTGTCTGCCATTCCTTTAAATATTAAATTTTGAGTTGAATGTGTTCGATTGTCATATAATATATTGACTTCAGTTGCCCCAGCATCATCAGCATTTTGAATCATCTCTTTTATAATAGTCAAACCATCTTTATATTCTTTTAGAATATTTCTAAGACGAGTTGTTATTGGTTCATGTTGACCAGCATCATCAAATATATCTTCAGTTATGTTAAGTTGATCACTAAGTGGAGTTATTCCCAGCTCTGCTGACAAATGAGACACTTTGGGATGTATTAGATGATACTCTTCACCCGAAGCATTGGCAATATTACAAAGCACTTCATTATTGGTATAGGCCACCTCTTGAACAGGAATAAGATTAGGAAAAGAGGACTTACTTTCAACTGGTACAAGAACATCACCATCACCCATTCTATCAGTATCTTCTGCTAGCCATTCTAGTATAGCTGTGACTATTGCCCAAGCTTTTGCAGCATTTATTTGATTACGAGGAGCATATTTTATTGACTGAAGAACATTAAAAATCTGTTGAGGTGTTACTTGGTGATTTACGCCAAGTAAGGAAAATATATCTGCAAAGCCAGACAAATTGCTTGGTAATACATAAACAAATGGTTCCAAATTTGCTTCAAAGGTAGGATTAGCTTCTATTGCTATTTGCTGTGGGTGTAAAAACTTGTTTTTAATAAATACCCAATTATCGATAGCAGCAAAAGTATTTGCACTGCAAAACTCTCTATTCTCTTGTAAATAGGTATATGTTTCAACAGAAATTTTCAATAAAAGATCTTTTCGTATTCTATGTTCATTCTTAATTACCTCATTAAAATGAGATGCAATGGCTTTTATTAGAGCTTGAGATCTTCCCAGTTGCTCCACAAGTTGAGTTGGAACTCCTTCAACAAAAAAGGCTTGAGAGCCTGCTATTAATGGTAAATGAGATGAAGCAAGGTCTTCTGATACTAACATCAATGGATTACCAATAGATTTAGCTGAAGCTAAACAAAACTGATACTGTGAGCCTCTCCACTCTAAACAGGAAGGATATTCATCAGGATGTTTACTTGCTACTGGTAGCCAACAGGACTTTGCATTGAGCCTTCTTAAAGCAACTAATAGTGAGTCTGAATTTGCTGATACTTTTTGTCTCAATAAATAAGGAAATGATGATAAATATTGCAAAACTGCCATGGCTTTTGAATATAATATGCTACTGGTTTTTGCAATACCATCTGTGGATTGCAAGCAAATAGAATTGACTATTTGAAAAATTTCACTAGCACTTACAGATGATTTTAAGCCGCATTCTCTCAGAATAGGCAAATAAGGTTTAAATTCTGCCCCAGGAAATTTATCCTCACCATTGAATAATTTTAGAAGAAGCTCATTTTCAGGATCAAATAGATAACACGGTGACTTAAATGCTCCTGATAATTTTGTCTTAATAAATGGCAAATCTTTTAAAGCACCAGTTAATTGCTGCTTATAACGAGGACTGCTAAAATTATCAAGAACACTTAGCATAAAAGGAACTACATTATGAAATTTTCCACTCTTAATCTGTTGAAATGCAATTTTTAGAAGGTAGTCAGTTTCACTCATAAAGCAAAGGACATTAGCATTACATAATGCTTTTAACAATTGCACATCATTGTGGCTGTAGGTATCAATGATGAAAGGATCATCTTCAATCAGATCAGTTTTAAAGTCATACCTACCGCTCATAGCAATTACATGATTAGTATATGACTTAATTGAATTCAACGAATAGCGAGTTGAATCACTGTATTGTAAAACTTCAAAAAGAGGCATTTCACTAAATGTAGATAACTTATTTAAATCATAGAAACTAGAACTATTAAAAAATTGTTGAAGTGCCAAAGCCTCCGTTCGCAAAAAATTTATACTGCTAAACGTGAACAACTCGATTGCATCTAATATTCCATTTGGATCAAATTGATATATGTATTGTGAAAGCTGTGAATGAGACAAGTAAGGAAATTCACGAGCATCAGCAAATTTCATCCCACACTTTTTTAAACTAGCAACAATTAGCTCATTTGACCCAAACAAAAATTGAGGGATATAAACTACTCCTGCTTGCCTTTTTAACTCCAGAATATTTGTGCGACCTGATGGTAGTTTTACTGGTAAAATTTTCTTGTTTTTAAAATGGGATAAATTTCTTTTATTGAGCCACTCCCAAAAGTGTTGCAATTGGTCTTGTGACCATGATCTTGTGTTGCATTCCGCTAATAAAGTAGATACTCCCATTTCATTAAGTAAAACTAGCTGTGTCTGACCATAAAGTGCTATTGTATAAAGACTCGTATGTAATTTTTGGTCTTCATCATACATTTTTACAAGCTTAGACTCTACACCAGGCAACAAACTGCTAGGATAATCAGAACTGCAAAGAAAACTTGATTCAATTGCTACTCTTTTAAATTCCTGAAAAGAGCCATCAGCCATTGGTAATAACCAAAGACCAACTAAATCAGCATGATTATTGTCAACTAAACAATATCTTAAAATATCAAGTTTATCTTTTCTTGTTACATGAATGTAAGCTGTCTCATAGTGCTTTAAGTGCAACCTTGCTATTGCTGGACTTAAATCTGTTTTAGCCCCAGTATAGTAATTTTTAATAGCTTTAATGCAATTGCCACTTAATATGACTAAATTAACATTGCACTTCAATAGAGCATCAATAACAGCTTTTGAAACATCATGATTTGCAAAAACAGCTTCTGAAATATTAATCCATTTTCCTCCATCTAATTGAGTATGAACTATTTTTTTGTGATCAAATAAGAAGTTGTAGAAAGGTTTCAGTAGGCCACTCCATTGTGTACCACTTACTTTTCCTATGTCAGGCCAATAGTTGTAAACCTCAGGCGATTTCATATCCATTAATTTGGAAATTAACTTAAAGTAACAAAACGGCAAGCAGTCTTCAACAAGCATCTTGTTCCACATTGCCTGTTCATCGTGTCTTCTCTCTTGTGCTTCCCACTTTATTGATCGTCGATTACTGCTAATGGCAAAAGTGCCATTAACATGAACATAAAATGGCGATCTGTCTTCAACTGGCAAAGGTAGTACGCAAAAAATACGACCAAAAGACATTATTAAATCATTTAATTCAACAGCAACTCCAACCAATTCAACAGCAACTCCAACCCAAGGAAGAACATTCTGCTTTTCTGCTAGTTGCCACACCTTCTGATTGTTTGAGCCAACCTGATGAACAACTAAAAATTCATGCTTAATATGGCTTCGAGTTTCATTATCTTTGACAGCAACTTTAAAATGAGAACTCTCTATATGCATTTGCCCATATAGTGTTAAACTACTTGTTTTGCTTGTAAGATCTTCAATGGCTCTCAAAATTTTTTGCTGATTTTGAATGTGTAGGCTACGATGCTCTTGACTAATGCTCACATTAAATATTGATGATATTGCACCTCTGGCATTAATTTTCAATACTTCTATTGAACAAACAGACCTCAGAAAAAGCAACAAATACTTTGCCTCTTGCTTCAATGAACTTAATAGGGATTCCAATTTTGAAATATCATAAATTTCGCTCCATATTTTTGATGGCTTGTTACGCAAGGGAAACCTGAAAATCGTTTTCCCTTTAAAATTAGATAAACCACTAGAAAAACCACCAATACCAGTGAATGGGGCAACAGCTTCAGGGCAATGATCATTTAAATCTTCCAAAGAATATCGCTGACCAGACTTACTATTCCATACTAACAGTTGAGGCTCCAGGAATACACATGTATCTTCACTGATAATAACTGGAAGGTCTATTATGAGAAAATGGATGATTATAATAACAATTCGTTGACATAATGTGATGGGGTGGTTTATACAAGCTAACTTACCAGTAATGTGATACACAGAATTGAATCCAATTCCAAACTTTCCAACTTTATTTGGGCTATTTGCCTTTACACTCTGATAAGTGGTCTGTATGCCTTCCCAGTCTTCTTCTCTGAAAGGTGCATTATTATAAGAAAGAAGAGCAGGACCAGTGAACTGCTTTGACAACTCTTCTTGATCCCTAGCGGAAACACCTGACTGTGATTGTAGTAGTGAAATGGGGAGTGTCTCAAGATTACGATAGTCAAGATAGAACTTGACCTCTGTGGCTCGGGCATCATCAGCATTTTGTATGACTTCCTGTAAAAATGTATTAACAAAAGAGTGTATATAGTAATTCTAAAAATGCTTTAGTATACTTAGTTTATCAGTTTTAAGACAAAAATTTAGAACTGTACTACCTATCTTACATTAAACTTAACAAACAATTAGGAAGTAATCGACAAGAAGGTAAAACTTTTGTTGATAGCAAGAAAGTACATTTAAGTTGAGCATACCATACGTGTAGGTATAGCAAGTGATTTTAAAATAAAAACTGATGTATAAGATGATGTGACATTATACTGGATTAAGATTATTGGATTAAAAAATTTTTAGATTAGTCCAAAAGGTCATTTGCCATATAAATTCTGAAACATGACATTAACCCACAACTAAATGTATATCCTGCTTCTTTGCCGCTTACTACCTGGAACTATACAATTTTTGGCAATACAACTCTAAAATCCGAACAGTGCGACTGTCAGTGAGTATACACAAACACATTGAATGTACATGCATTGAATGAAACAAATCAATGATACAGAGGGCAACACAAACATTAATACTTTCAACTGTATTTCTCTATTCTATTTCTGGCTTGATGCCAGTGACTCATCAAAACCTCGATCAAAACATGATGAAGGCCTATAACTAAAGCAAAATCTGGCCTGGGTCATGCACTTACAGTAAAATGTAATACAAAGAACTGAAACTAAACAAGTACAGCATCTATTCCATTACCTTAAATATTTGGCCACTTGGATACTCTTGAAGAATATTCTTAATAATATCGTAAATAGGAGGAACTCTTTGACCAAAATCCTCTCCTCTCAATCCTAGACTAGAGCCAGTGTCCCTCCGCTTGTTACTTGAATTGCCACTGCCAGCAAAGCTAGCAGAGGAACGTCGTTTCATGTTGAGAGCAGGTGTATACAGTATCTATATTGAGAGCAAAAGGCTTCTTCGTCCCGGGACCTCCCGCGAGCAAATTAATTAATAATCGTAACCACACCTTTGACCACGCCTAATTGAAGACTTCATTGAAGGGGTCTATGATCGAATTTGAAGACTTGAAGTTCATAAAATTTGACTACAATGATTGGAATTGCAGGTGAGTATTAAACAAAAATTTAGCTTAAATTTGAATGGTTTATAATATTATATTATTGCTTGACTTAGGGTGGGTTTGTACGCTTAGTCTCGCGAGCCAGACCATTCCCCAGCCTACAGTCATTGGGGTTGTCCACCCCAATGACTGTAGGCTGGGAAATGGTCTGGCTTGCGAGACTTTTGTACGCTAGCGTCATGACTGGAAATACTGTATGAACAAATGGTAAGATGCATCAATGTGACACTATAGAAATTTTTCTGTTCCGACACTTCAACACTTTTTGCTCTTGGTTTGTATAGCACTTTCGATTGCAATGCTAGCACTCTAAAAACAATGCATTACAAGAACTCACCTTTCACCCTTTCATTCTTTATTTCAGCATGCACCCTCACTTTATTTGTACGTACATAAATTTTTATTGCAATAATATTATTAATAAGCTGTTTACCCAGACACCCACATTAGCCCGACCTGTAAAAGGAGAAGTATAAACTTAACTGAAGTTGCCTTATGTGAGTAATTAAATTAATTATTTGTAATTTGACCAAATGCCAAACTAATTTTTTATGCCTTTGCATTGGCAAGGCCGGACAATTAAAACCCACAATTCTAACTTGATGAACAGTGCACTATATAGTTCTTTAAAGTTTTAAAATGCTAAAGTATATGCGTGTAATGATGCACTTAATTAGATATGTAAATATGATTAGTGGTTGCCGAATGGTTTTATTGAATCAAATAATGCTTTACTGTAAATTTATGCAACAGAAAAATTTTGTGTTTCAAAATTGTGCTGTGATTTATTTTTTACGCAGTAAAACTGTTATGCATTATTGAATGTGGCATGTAACTGCAAAATTCTAATTCCAGTAAAATTGAAGTCATAGGAAAAACTTTCTGATAGATAGTACTTTATACTGAGTTATTCAGCAATGTATTATCAGGCTCATAAAAGATCCATTAATACATGTAAAATAATAATAATTATGTGTTATTTTGGATTCAGCTTTGAGTTGGTGTTTTGATTTGGCCTAATTCTTTTAATTAGACCTCAATTTGCAATTGAAAAAGAAACAATGTTTCCATTTTAGTTAAACAGTTTGACCAATTAATTTAGAATGACGATGATTAGGGATAGCAAGATGAAAGGTCTATCTCTTTTTATTATGACCGTACAATGTGTGCATGTACATGTATGTGTTAGCTAGTGCCTGTCAATTTACTACAGTATAGGGTCTTTGACCAAATATTGCCAAAATTAAATAGGCAAGAATTTTTATTTTTATAATTTTTCCTGATGCATATACATGTTTTTATGTTGCATAAAAAGTTTGAGCTGATTCCGATCAAAATTGGATTTTTTACAAAATTTTACAGTTACTCCAGAGTTGGGTAAAAGACCCTGTACATAGTACAGGGTCTTTGGCCAAATTTTGCCAAAATTGAAAAAGAGAGAATTCTCCATTTTTATAATTTTTCCTGATGCATATACATGTTTTTATGTTGCATAGAAAGTTTGAGCTGATTCTGATTAAAATTGTATTTTTTACAAAATTTTAAAGTTGCTTCGGAATTGGGTAAAAGACTTTGTTATTATAGTACAGGGTCTTTGGCCAAATTTTGCCAAAATTGAAAAGGAGCGAATTTTCTATTTTTATATTTTTCTTGATTTGTACATGTATTCCTGTTCTTATCTTGTGTAGAAAGTTTGAGCTAATTTTAATCAAAATTGGATTTTTACAATTTTTTAAGCTGCTCAAAAATTGGGTAACAACCCTGTACAAAGTTTTGGTCAAATTTTACCAAAATTTAAAAGAAGAGAATTCTCTATTTTTATAATTTTTCCTGATACATATCTCTGTTTTACTGATTTCAATCAAAATTGGATTTTTACGAATTTTTAAAGTACAGGATATTTGGCCACTTTTTGCCAAACTTTAAAAAGAGAGAATACTCTATTTTTATAATTTTCCTGGTACATACAGGTACATGTTATTATGTTGCCTAGAAAGTTTGAGCTGATTTTGATTAAAATTGGATTTTTTACAAATTTTTGAAGTTGCTCCAAAATTGGATCAATGACCATGTACTACATGTATAGTACAAGGTATTTTTCCAATACTGGCTAGGAAAGAATTCACCATTTAATGTTGTACATGTACATGTATATACAAATATAATAGTCAACATTGTGTTTTAAATTTCTTTCATTATATTCTCTAGTCTTCATTCCTTGCAAGTCGTTTCTTCACAATAATTTGATAAAGATAGTAATAGATCCATTAGTCTTGATGAGATGAGGAATGGAATCAAATTATTAATAAAAGGGTCACAACTGGATAACTTACATTTTAATTTCAAGTTTACAATGTTGATGGTAAGCAATTTGTACATGTACATGTACAATGTATGTGTTAACGTACATGTGCATGTACATGCACATGTATGCACCTCCATTGAACAGACAGCACCTAGTGCACCAATTACATTCCTTACTATATAAAATAGCTTCCACATTGAGGACACCTTTGTACAACAGACAAACTTTCTTGTACCATAGTGTTCATCTACACTGTACTATTGTATTATTAGAATTATTACTAGGTGATGGTGCTATTGACTATGATGAGTTGAACCAAGGCCTTGAAAGTTTATCAAATATTGATGAAGAAATTTTAGAGACAAACAAAATGCATTTTTACATGTAATACCAGGTAGGCAAACAAATAAATAAAATTATAAATAATTTTTTTCTAGTTCTGCAAAACTTTGTCGGGATAAAAAAATTTTGGAGAGATTTTGGCCTTCCTGGTTGCCATGTAAACATGTCAGAAATGATTGGTTGTATTTCATCTTTTTGTTTGTGTTCTTCAAAATTAATATTTTACTGTTTGTAGACGCAGCAATCAGATACAAAAAATCAAGTTAGTAATAATAATAATAATATTAATTAGAATAATAGTTTATTATACAAATGTATTGATGTCATTTACATGTGCTTGTACATGTACATGTACATGTATTTGTGTATAATTATGTTCCCTCCCTCCCCTCTCTCTTTTTTAGCATTTTAATATCAATAGCCAGAGATGCTGGTACTTGTCTCATCAAGTAGTTGTCCTTATACTAATATATTGACACTCATTCGATCAGCAAGACTGTCTATTTGACAAATTAACTACATAAGATTGTGGGATATACTATTATCATACTATCTCTAATCTCTTGTTATTTCATGGCACATTTTATAAACATCAGTAAGTTATAGTATTAATTATGAACTGAGTCATGTTTTAGTTTTTTGAAAATTTCCTCCAAAATTACCCTCAATTTTTGTTACATTTTTTGATAAATATTGACATGTACTTAGTATGCTATATAGAAAATTTGAGCTGATTCTGACTGAAAATTTTTAAGTTTTGACTTTTTTAATAATAGGCAAATTTTAGGGGGAAAAGCAAAGTTTGTCAATTTTTCTCCTCTGTTTTGTTAAATTTATTTGCTCTCTAATTTTTATATTAAATTCATTTTAAAGGCTTGGTTTCCTTAAGGCTAGATAGCCCATAATTTTATCAAAAAATTGCTCCAAAATCACCTCAAATTTTTGTTAAATTTTCTGATACATACTGATGTCCTTATGCTATATAAAAAATTAAACTAATTCTTGCTTTGACTTTTGAGGTATAAGCAATTGAAGAAATACATTTCTATATACATGTACAATACATGCATGCACTGTGTAATCTTGACGTTCTTGTTTCCATTGATGGTAAGATCATGTTCTTTTCTGAAGGAAGATCCTGTAGCTATGGCAATGTACATAACATGTATGCTATATTGGTGTAGTTACATAAGTGGTGGGAGGAGCTCATGTCTACTGGCATAAATTTTGATTTTGGCTGTTATGTTAACCCTTGTTACTTGAGTATCAAACCCAGTGTTTTTGACATGCTAAATTACTTTTTGCTCACAACGTCTATTAATTGACTAATGAACCTACATGTACCTACCTAAACTACCTTAAATAGCCCTATTGGATCAGATGAGTTTGTTTATGAATATGTGCATGACACAACCAAATGTATTCTCTTTGTCCCAGCTTGTCTTGGTGGTCTTGGTTTTACTAATCTAATAATGTCAATTAAGCAATATAGTGATTACATCTTTATCCTCACAGCCTCATGTTAATGCCATCATTGATTCACTATCTTATAACTGTCTCGATCGTTATTTCTGGTACAGTATCACCTCATCAAAGAGTTGTGTGAATCAGAGTCACAAATAAAACTTAGATGCTATTACAAGACTTCATTATACTTCCCTACTAAACTACTATGTTGTCTATAGGCAGCTATAGTGAGTCTGCTGCTCTTCCTGGCTCAATCATATCAAAGAGCTGGTTTTGTCTTTCACTTTATAAAGGTGCATTTTGAAATGCATTATATACCAGTATGGTTGGACTCCCCCTCATGCTCTCAACTGAGGCAATTTCTGAAAATTGGTTTGAAAATCTCCTCCAATTATTGTGTCTTTGAGCTTTTTTGACTGATTTATAAATTTCAACCCTCAAAATGCATTCTGTGCATTGCCACTGCAGTTAGTAACTTAGTACTGATCAATGTTGTACATGTACATGTAACAAGTTCCCTAAGGTCTGGTTTATTATTAATATGTTGTAGGGTCTTGTTGAATACTTTGTCATTGGGTTTGAGGTTTCCTCTTACCCTGTTTACTTCAGTACTATAGTCCACAAGATACACCCACTCACTGACATTAGAAGATATTCTTCCATACACATTCAAACAGGTGGGTCTGGTTTGAGACTAATGTACTCATTACTGTCTATACTTATTAATTAGATGAAGGACAAGTCAGTATATTAAATACTGCCTGTCTGTTTGTATGTACATGTACATGTACATTACAGTCACTCCTGATGATACATTTTTATAAATTATTGCTACTAGAAAAATGTAAACATTAAGGAGCTTCGTCCCCTAGCTATGCAGATTAGGTCATTTAACTTTGATAATACGAAGTTTCTGACCCTCAATTTTTGCAAGGGTCAGGCCACGCCTGACTGGGCTAAGTTATGGTCTGGCTGTGCGAGACTATGTGCAATTTGCTGTACCATCATTGCTGAACTCTTCTTTAATAAATATTTTTTGTAAATTAACAAAATTAAAAAATATATATTCAAAATAAGCAATAATAAGAAAGTCAATAAAACTACTATTAAGCATCAATATCAATATTAAAATCAAATCCCAGTTCATTTCTAATAGCTTCAATCCAGTCCTCACCTAAAGCTATTGCTGCATTAGCATAACTGCCTCTCACAGCAATGAATGAGCTTAAGAACTTTTGACAGTGCTCCTGCACTTGAGGTAACTTCCTCATAAAACTAAGACTAGCCTTCAACTCATCAATGCACTCTTTCATTGAAGGAGCTTCTCTAACTTCATTACTAATAAGCTTAGCTGCGTACAACTGATTGACAAGACCAGTAAGAGACTTTTTCGGTAAAGAATTAAGATCAGCATAATGAGATACAAGAACATCATTGATCACTTTCTTTACTTTATTGACATCAACAGTAGCTGATGGACCTAACAGAGGTCAAAGGTCAGTACACACACACACACACACACACACACACACACACACACACACACAGTATTATCACTTACTAGTTCCTCCAGTGGATGATACTGACGTTGATTCATGTACTACATTAGAGGAGGAGGAGGTAGTAGGATCTGATTAATATTAAACAAATAAACAATTGAAATGATTTAACCATTACTTGTCGAAGGAGGAGGAGGAGCAGTTCTCAGTGATCGGTGAATGAACAATGTAACAGGATCAGCCACTCCATCCAGTGGTACAGAGTAATGTAGTGATGGTACAGCACCAGGTGATCCATAGACTGATACCAGACAACATGGAGGAAGAGGATAATTAGCATCGCCAAAATTATCAACATCACAACGGCGCAACTAATATAATATACACACACCAACCATCAGTCATACATTATTTTGCAGTACTTACTCTACAAGGTTTAATGTGAGGCTTAATACTCCAACCAGTGAATGGCTCATCTTGAGGTGCATCAAACTTCAATTCAATATATGAATAGAAAGGAATAAAAGAAAAATAAACATATTGACCAATCTCAGCTTGTACGTGTTTCTTCTCAATAAACTATAAAATCAAAATAGTGATGATAATAATGACTAAATTATTAATGTATGTACACATACCTCAAGGAGAGCACTTAATTTCTTAGCTACAGTAAAGGTCACTAAGTCTTCAGCTTCTTTCTTCTCATAATAAACCAGTCCAGCATATGTTGCAGCCTCTTCTACACCAGTGGACCCTGCTCCAACTATAAATAAATGTGCAAATCATTACATACAGTTTTTAAAATCATAGCTACATGTCCATGCATCAATTATTCATTACCAGCAGTTTGTTCTTGAGGCTGAGGTTCAGTATTCTCCTCTACTCTTAAATTCTTTCCATCATCAACTGGATCAATACTGGTATCACCTTCAAGTTTCTCCTCTTCTGTTGCATTTACTTGCTCACTAGTATTAGAATCAACTATACAAGTGAGATCAGTTATCATTGACAGTGTCGATGTAAGTACTTACTATTAAAATCTGAACCAATCTCAGTACAAGGCATTAGAGCAGTTGCTTCTTCTTCTTTATGATTCTTTGACTCTCCTACTCCTCTATTTTTTTGCTCTTCATTTCCTTCCTCATGTAATGGCTGACCTCCAGTCTCCCCCTTTTCCTCTACTCCCTCATTACTAGTAGACTCTCCTATATAGTGGAATAGATTCAGTTCATTATATATACACTAGTACACACTCACTGACTCATTACTCACCTTGTCCTACACTGCTACCTCCTGGTGGATCTTTAGTCTTATCAGAATAACTGGATGAATCGCTATCACCATCTTCCACTTCCTCCTCAGTTTCCTCTTCTGCTTGTTCCTCTTGCTCCTCTTCCTCTGACTCGTCTCCATTAGTTGATGATTTGGATAGAAATTTCTCACCAACAATAGCTACCAAACAGAACTCTTTACGTTGAATGGATCCATACCAACTATCAGGTTTAAACTCTCCTCCCTCGACTACTGAGAACTGGTAAGGAAGACTGGGTGTGCTCACAGGAGCTATAGCAAACTTCAAAAATCGTGTAAGACCTGGTCGTCCCCTCAGATCAATGCAGTGCTCAATTTCTACTTGCAATGGCTTCAAGAGAGCCTTGGATACTGAAACAGCATAAACAGCACTCACTAGTACTGTATTTTTTGGAAAGACAAACTGTCCTCCTACAAGAGCAGCCACTGCTACCTCAAATGTATTGGTGGGTAATAAGGTATCTTCTTGTACTCCAATCCTTAGACCATATTTCTCCCAATTAATTAGTTGAGGTTTCTCTCCTTGAACTAGAAACAGCTTCTTCTCTGCTACCTGTACATCACTCAGACAGTCCAAATTATCTATCAGTAGTAATAAGACACACAGTCAGTCAGTCAGTCAGTCAGTCAATAATACTCTTACCCATTGAAGGGATCAGGTAATTAAATTGTAGTCCAATGGAACTAGTCTCTTTGATAGGTTGCTTGAGGACCCTCTCTTGTCTTTCTTTCACTAGTTTGGCTATGTACAACTCCTTTTCTTTAAGGTCTATTAATTAATAGAATATAAATAATTGATAATGATACACTAACCAGCAGTGATCTGTTTCTCCTCTACATGTACTTGTGAAGTCAGTTTGGCTATAACTTTGTCTTTCTCTGAAATGTTAGTTTTGAGATTTTGATTATTGTCTACACAATAAACATACATTGTATTCTCTCATCTAATACATGCTGTGTGTATAATTAACTAACCAATAATGATCTGTTTCTCCTTGAAATATTGTTCCTCCTTCTGTTCTAATAGTTTAGCAACTTTGAGTTTCAGTTTCTCATAATCTTCTACATTAATAGAATATTCTCTCGTCTAATATCATGTAATGATGATACACAAACCAATAATAATCTGTTTCTTCTCCTCTACTTGTTTCTTTTCTTCCAATATTTTACTTATATATCCTTCATTATCGGCATCTTTAGCTTTAAGCTTCTCATATACTTCTATTATCAATAAAAATACAATAAAATGATATTTGTAGCTTATATTCAAATTTGCACTGCATGTACAGTAGCCCATAAATACATGCACTAAGGTTCGATACCAGAAATTTTTAATTGATACTGATACTAAGTTTGAATATCAGTTGAATGAGTAGTCAGCTACTGCGCATGCGCAGATAATTTACAATTAGTTATTAATAACAATCAATGAAAATGAGCCGACATTTTTGTAATAATAAAAGGGTGTGACCATTATTATGACGTCAAAGTAGGTGTAGTTGGGCGTGGTCACTACTCTCCTCGCTACCAGGATTTGTTACTTAGTATTTGGTATCAGAGGCCTGGTACCGGATATATAAGTACTTTGGTATCGTATCACCCACCTCTATAAGGCTATTGATAATGTTATCATACATGTCTATGATAGGCAAAGGATGTTACAGTGAATCCCACTATATTATATATGTATATATTATATATGTACTATGATTATTGCTAATCATACCATATATGGTAAGCAGAGCTCACTCTACATCAATCTCATTATTTCTAATGCATGGACAATTTGACCTATATTGAGTACAGGATACTATTTCCATACTCAACATTGTCTAATCCACTAGTATTATAATGCAAACAATGTACACATAAACAACAGTACAACACAATAGTACCTAATTCAAGAAATGATTTATCCTTTTCTGCTTGCTCAAGGAGAGTGGTAGCATCATCAAGTTGCTGAGTAAGTGTTGCCTTCTCTTGAAGAAGTTGTTGCTGCTCTTTGTCTTGATCTTGCTGTATCTGCTCCTTCTCTTTTATTTCTCTTTGAAGCTGTTCCTGATAGAATTCTCTTTCTCTTTCTAATTGAAGACGATTTTGAAACATTTGAAGCTGTTTATCTATTCCTAAATTCTCCCAATCACTCAGTATTCTTCTTCTTAGCTGATCTTGATACTGGTCCAGAGGTATTACACTAGTAGACCAATCATTATCACTAGTATATCCTATACAGTAACAAAATACCATATAGCAGGAAATTTTCATTGGGTGCTAATTTCATTTGTTTCATTGGCCAAAAATTTGAACAAACTTCTTAGACAATGAAAATTATTTTAATCTAACTAAAATTTTTGACCCACACAGATCCTCTTTTCATTACAGCCATGGCATAGCAATCTGTGGCATTATCTGGTTCAACACTGAATGGCAGTTCTTCTCCAACTAATGGGCTCCAAATGTCTTTATAAATGTGATAACTATAAACCATAGACATTCTTCCATCTTAAACCACACATGTGTTAAGTGGGTGCGACGGTGAAAATTTATGTTAGGCAAAGCAAAAATAAAATCAACAAAAATATCTGGTAAAGCCTGCTTGGAAAGACAACAAAAGTTTCTGGCAACAAAAATTTCCTGCTATACGGTAGTGGAGAATGAGAAATACACAAACTAATTCCAGTTAGTTACTAGGATTCATGTTTAATCATTGAATGTGTGACCTCTGTCAGTTAACCATTACACATTCAATACACATTATATCTACTACTGTCTACATGTACTTACTGAGTTCAATAACTGCTGTATCAGTGTATGATGAATCTCCTCCAAACTCAATTATCCAGTCAGTAGTTGGGGTCACATTCCAAACTGAGAGAGAATGCCAGTATCTGTTAGTGACATTGACTGGTAGATTAATCTATAAAATTTAAACGATAATGATTAATTTGTATGACATATTAATTGATTCGGTAACTGGTTAATAAATGCAATAACTAACTGACAGTTTTATAGTCTGCACAGTGTGTTTTATGTAATACAAAGGTGACATAATAAATTCAATTATATGCATATTAATAGACAAGTATACACAACTGAGTGTGTTATTATATCATGTGAGTCCTCAATTAAGAACTTACTAAGTGTTTGCATGTACACACATACATATACACAGGAATGATACAATAACACACATACATGTACATTTATACATGCATAGACATAATTTTTGTGGTTAAAATCTTTTATGGTTGAAGTGACCCAAAAAATTGTGATGCATAGCATACTTTCTACACCAGATTATTGCAACTATTTTTAATATGAAGCAGTGGTCAAGCCCAAGAGGCTCCTTGTCAGATTCAGTACTTTCAGTGTCACAAGCAAAGTTTATCAAATAGCTATCCATCGT